GTTGTGTTAACATGGGGAAGAGGATGTGAACTTTGAACACATTTGAAATGTGGAAAATAAAAGAGGATTTCAAATGACAAGGATACCAAATTGCAATGTCTTTGTTGCTGATAACATGTTGTTATGTGCTGGAGGGTGTTTTCTAATCAAAAGCACCTAGAGGGTTCACTCCCTTTACGGCTTGTGTGTGTGTATTTGTCTTCATGTTAACTCACAAACAATGAATGTATGTTTGGTGTATGAATGTAGGCGTCTGTCTTTGCAGTTGTGTCCTTATTCCCGTAACAAGCTCACCTGACAAAGAACCTCAGTTTGAGATTATGATAGGACTACTGTAGTCTTGTTTGTTTAAGCAGAAACTGATTCAACATACACACTGTTTTCCCCTCACTTTTTCCTCTTTACATACATGGGATATATAACATTTCTGGCTCCATAGTGAGCAAAGACATATGAGTGATATTTGCAGTCATAGTCTTCTGTGGCCGTGTGCAGTGCAGACTCGAAATGGCATTTATATAGTTCTTTTCTAGTTCACTGCCCACTCAAAGTGCATTTTGCCCGCTTGTGCCATGCTGAAAATTCAGACCTTATATTAATACTTTCATGCAAAGGCACTGCACATCCCCAAATTACACTGTGATCATTTATGCCACCACAAAGGCATGAGCCATGTTTAATCGCCACAGTCGATCTTTTAAGATTTAAGATTTTGGATTCAGATTGCATTACATTAGACCAGGGGTGCCCAACTCCAGGCCTCAAGGGCTGGTGTCCTGCAGGTTTTAGATGTGTCCTTGGCCCAACACAGCTGATTTGAAAGGCTAAATGACCTCCTCAACATGTGTCGAAGTTCTCCAGAGGCCTGGTAAGGCCTGGAGTTGGACACCCCTGCATTAGGCCATAGTACAAATAAAAGCTCAGTAATACACAGGTCCTTGTTTACTGGTTTTAGATCAATATAGCTGCGGCCTGTGGAGATGTCATCACAACCAATGGCAACATTTGCCACATTAGTCGGATAACTTACAAACTTTGAGAATCTTTCTGTTGTTTTAGTGAACCTGCCATCAGTAGTCTTTAATAACTGATGGCTGGAGGTCATGAAGACATTTGTGTGCTATTGTAGCCAACAATACAACATGTAGTCTGCTTTGCTTGTGACACTGAAGTGAATATTGCTTGGTATATTCTTCTTTTGACAAAGTAGCCAATAGGCATTAAAAATCAAACTCTACATATAATGGACTCTTCAAGTGTAAGTATAAAATAGATTTTTTAAATTAGTTTTGTCACCAACCATGATTGTGTTTGAAGTTGCTCAGTCATTGACTATCTGTGATCTCTTGTCACCATATCGCTGTTAGTGGCTGCGTGTGTCGATTCCCCTTCAGTTTTGTTGTTTATCAGTTGTTTGTCAGAGTACACGTTTTAAGTCACACATATGTCATGGTTCAATCCACAAAACCAGCTGAACTTCACCTGTAAGACAAAATGGGCTTATTAAATTTGTTTCCACATTAAAGAATAACAAATCATCATCATCACGGAATCAAAATCTTGGAGATACGCAGCGGGGTTTTGAGAAATCCTGTTTTGTGAGTCAGCTGGTGCGAAGCGGTAGTATGAACTGTCGATCAGAGTGACGTCTCTAAGATCCAAAGTCCAAAGATGTTCACTTTATTGCTGTGTGGCAAAGACAAGCAGGGATTATTTCGCTGCTTAACAGCTGTACACCATAAGAGAAGTCATGTCTTGTTTATAAAACCAAAAATATAACAACATTATTTCAGAATTTTTCTCTCTTGTTTTTACAAAAGAGAGAACTAGCCTAAACACTTTTTTAGCTCACTCATTTAGCCCTTATCGACAAAATAAGATGTTTCACTTCACCATGATTCAGAGTCTGCGTGCTAGTTTCCAGTTTATCACATTTTGTCTGGGGCAGCTCTTGCATGTGTATGATGCATCCAGTTCCTTTGAATGTGAGATCAAAAGAAGATAAACTCCAGAGGTGGAGGGGAACGGAATGAGACCTCTGAAACAGAGGAGTTGGTGGTGTGTAAACATTGCAATGACGGTACACAATACATTTTTTTAAACCCAGTATTAGGCCTCTCAAAGACATGCCACCTCCAGCAGGTTTTCTAAAATGAGCTGAAAACAACATTCCTAACCCCGAGGCTGACCTCACAACACAGCTTCTCAGCTTGCTCACCTTTTAGTCTCTTTATGCCAACATGTGTTTACTGTTGTTGCAGCTCTGACTGTCAAAAGTAAGATTCTCATTACGCCGACGTATTTGCTGTTGGGCTGCAATGTGATTTCAGTTAATTTGCCTATGTCAAGATGATCATCGACTGTGTTTTCAAGGGCACGATCACATAATTATTGCCCTTACTTTAATTGGAAGTATAATTTGATGAAGCTGTTGACGTGAAAAGTGGAAGGCTGTGTTCGTAATTTTCTCATTTCATGCAATGTGGCAGAATGCTGTTATTGTTTAAACTGCCTGTGACTCCTTTGCTTTAAGCTGAGGCATTACCTTAATGCAGTCATAATAGTCATATTATTACTATTTATGTGTGATACACACAACTAAACAGCCTTGGGTTAATTTGGCATGCATGGAATGCACTGAGTAAGATAATGGAGTTGTTAATAGTTTTTTGAACTTTATAGCAAATATAAATATATACTTATATTCTAAAATATAAAGATTTTATTTTCATTGTCACAAGTCTTATCTACTTTTCCCTAAAAGACCCTTTTCTTTCTGCGCTTTTCTTTTCTTTATACTCTGATGACAGTGAGGAAAGACTTCCCAGAAATGTATCTTTTCATCCATTACTGTCTGAACTTCCTATCATATCCTGTTGACTCAACTCTCTTTGTTCCAACACCCTCGGTTGTAAACCCAGACTCACACACCACACACACATTTCACTGCATGTGTCATCAGTTACAAGGAAAAAGAAAACAGCACACTTTGTTTATTCTTCAATGTGCCCGTAATACCACGCCTTGGGCGTAGTGAATGATTTTGTTACTGCTTCTTTGCTTTTTTTTTGAATTTCATTTTGAATTTCCTTATCACATATCGGTATTACAGCGCAAGTACATCTTGAAGTCACATTTGAATGTCTAGTCCTAAAGTATGTAGTGCTAACAGAAAACCTGGAGATTATGAGAGCAACCACACTGAAGATAACACCACTGTTTCCTAAATATATTTAAGGTATCAATATTGTTTTAGAAGCTTTTGACTTTGGTAACTGGCATAGGAAATTGACATGAAATATCTGATTTTTAGCTTCTTATATAATTTAAACAAAATTTTTTCAACCACTAAAATCTTAAGATGGAAAAAAATAAAATAATCTTTAATAAACCAATCAAACAAAAAGCCTTTGGGATTCCATGAATTCCCAAAAGCAATTCTCACTATTTTATTAATATTTATTTTTCTTTTTTACAGTCTGCGTGACAAGAAGAGACAATATTATTATTCATTTGTATTTTTCCGATCTCCTCCGAGTGTCAATTAAGTTCACGTCCTTGCGATTTGAAGTTGCAATTGTGAGTTGCTTTGGAGTAAAAAAGTTGATGCCTAAAATGTAAATATTGCCGTCATGTGTGGGAGTGAATCTTGCTCACATTGTTCTTAGTTTGAATTTCGACACTCTCTTTATGAGTGTGATTGTTTTGAGGGGGTTCCCCTTCTCAATTTTCAAAGCAAAAAACAATTAGGCATGCAGACTGAGGTATGTTGGTCTAATTTATCTTTACGTGACAGAAGGACACAGATAGGCTGAGAGAAGGAGAATTTTTCTCCTTTAAAAGTCGAGCACGGTGACATGCCAGCAGTGTGGCCTCTTTGTTGCCTGCGGTCATATTTATGACTCATGATGTCATTGGACAGCCGTGTTTTTGGGAGGGTCAGCGCGTACGCCCACACACAAACGGTCACACAGCTGTTCTCTTCATACCCCTAGCTGTCTCTCCCCTTTCGGACTTAAAGTACCGTCTGACTTGTCTGGCATTAGGACTTTACTGGCACGTCTTTTCTTCTGTCTACACACAGCTTTCTGTTTGCTCGTTCCCTGTTTGATATCTTACTTTCACACAGTCCTTCACAAGTTTCACTCACTTTTTCACACATGACTATAACGTTTTTCTCTTCTGTTTTTCTACTCCCTCTCTTATACCGTTTACTTTTGCAGGTTACAAACTTCTCAAGAAATTGACAGAAGAACTAATAGGTTGCCCGTATATGAGATGAGTTTGGATGCGCCCCCTAACTGTTTGTTTAATTGTGGGAGCAATCGTCTGAGGAACATGGAAAGAATGAGGCCAGTTATTTACCCAGATGGTTTACTGGTGGAGGTGTGAGGCTGGCCAGCTCACTGTGGGAACACAACGCTTGCTTTTCTTGGTATCGCTGACCGTTTTCAAGACCACTGTGTTTTTTTCCCCCTAGCTTTCTCCAGCTTTGTTTGCTCTGGATGGCATGTTTGATTATTTATCGTAAGGGAAAAGGGAGTAGCTGGAGCAATAAACATGTGACTGCACTGTATTTTGTTTTCCACTGAGAAGGCCGTGTCCTTTAACAGATATTTGAGGCCTCTATAAAGTCTTTTATTTGCTTTCTGAAGGGGAGTTTGACCGAGCTAAAGGAGGATCTAAAGAACTGATTTGTGTCTTTGACAATTTGTGTTTTCTGTAAGTGTGAGTTATCAACAGATAAATATTTCTTCTGGATTGCTGAACATGACTTGTTTTGGTCTTCTCTGTCTGTGAATTTGTTTTGACATCTAAGCATTGTTTATGCCAGTCTTAGCTTTATGACACCGAACAGGATAACATGAAAGGAGGTCTGTGGTTTTTGTTGTCTTTCATACGGCAATGAGAATATTGCTCTAAGGGTTACGTCTGCACTGATAATAGGCATCAAAGTGTTCTTCGGGGACGTAACTTTTCTTTTTTAATTTCTCTTCTAGGCTCTTCAAATGGCTCGGCAAATACTTCTTCAGCAACAGCAGCAATCCCAGCCACAGCAACTGCAGTCTCAGCAAAATACTGGTCGCAAATCCCCCAAAGCCAATGACAAGCAGCAAAGCCTGCAGGTATTGTTGTCGTTCTCAGATGTTCTCTCATATTTTAACTCAGGGTTATCTGATGGCTTGGTTATTTAACTTTGTGGTTATTCAGATAATTAAAAAAAATGAAGTGAACTTGTGCAACTCTTGCCAGAACATAGTGTGCGAGAAAAAGTACAGCAGTAGTCTAAGTTCACAAACAGGAAATTAATATTGGCAGTGCAACATTTGCAGTTATGTATGCTCACGCATTATGTGTGATTTAGCGGCACACACGCTCAACCCTGTGTCATCCAGGTAGCACTGGAGGTGGTACCACTATGTAAAAAGGGGTTCTGTTTAGAGGCCAGACACACAGAAAAATCTCATTGTGGCCGGTTGAGATCACATGAGCTCATCCAGTATTATCTGGATTATCACTGTTTGAGATTACTGCAGTAGACAGGATTGCCTTTATTGGCTGCATTTTGTTTAGGAAGTTTGCAAGCAGGAGAAAGTGTGGAAAAGAGGAAAAGCTAGAAGAGAAAGAGCTCAGTTCCTCCCGCTAAAGGGAGTTTGGCTTTGTTCTTTCCTTGCTTTCTTTTCATCACACTCAGAAATACAGCAGAAATAAAAGAAGAGGCTAGTCTATACCTCTGGCAGCAGGAGGTGCTCTAGAGCAGACCGCAAGTGGGGTGTGTGTTCCAGGCGGAGGGTTTAAAGGTGGAACAGAGAGACATGAGCACGGGGTGGGAGAATGCAAAGGTATTTTAGAGGTAAACAGGTGGTGGGACACTTATTTGAACTGCCTTTGTAATGCAAAGGAAAAAAAACAGCGGGGAAAAAATCGGGGGGTTTTTTGTTTTGTTTTTTCATCTTGCTTTTAAGATCGACAGTGCTGTATTTCTGATGCAACATTTGCCTCAGAGATGTATATCTTTGTTTGAACAAGGAGCGGTTGTTTGTGTCAGTGTGAAATTGCAAACGACTTCAGGGCATATTTGGTAATTAATACGGAGGCCCTGTTCTCTCTGTGTGTATATATATAATATTTAATACCCTTACTATCCCATTGGGGGCCCTTTTTAATGAGCTATTGTAGCAGCTAGGTCTAATGTCAGGTTGTGGAAAAGCCTCTTTGTTGTGCAGATGTCTTCGGAATAGCTCCAGAGGATGAAATATGACTGTGATGACCTTTCAGTTGTGTGCATATTTGTCAGGATTCAAATAAGTTGAAAGGATCAAACTAAACAGTTTCCCCAGCCTGCCAGGGAATTGTGCTGCAGAGGTCAACAGAGGGGACCACAACGGCAGATTCCAGCATACAGCCAGTTGTTGGTACATAGTAAAGTACTAAACCATCTCCTGCAGACAAAGACAAAATTAAAATTCTAATTTATTAATGTATACAGAGAGCTTGGCCAAGCTGTCACTCAGCTATTGAAAAGAGAGTCGGGCCCTTTCCCCCTGCCCCCCCTCTCTTACTCCCCTCTTCTGCCCAGTTCTTGTGAAGAGAGCTCAGGCTCACTGTAGTATCTAACTAACGCTGTAAATTGCCTGCTCTCTAATGTCCTATGCTACATTTTGCTGAGTTGAAACTGCCATTATGAAAAAACCACAAGTCCAGACGAGTGTTTGTTTATCTCCAAATTACATATTCTACTAATTAAACCCAGCCCAACCACTAGCAGTGCACACACAAGGATAAGTATTCAGGCGCAGACATCACTGGGCCATTCTGTGCAAGTGTGCATTGCATTTAGTTTAACGTTTTCAGTTGGTGGCATTTCTGTTATGTTCCATATCGCAAACATTGGTTTTTTCAAACACCAGATAGTCATTTTCTCTTTTAAGAACAAACCCTGTGCTTAGAGGAGTCTCCTTCACACAGAACATTCACTATCTCCATCACACAGCCTGGATAATGATTCTCTGTTGAGCTGGACTGGGTCATCAAAAGACATGATCCAACAATTATGGGACTGTGTAGTAAGCTGACACCTCATAAAAGCACCTGATCTGCAGACGAGACTCCATTCATCTCAGTGTTCTTCCTATTAGGCACGAGGAGATGTGCAGAGAGACTTTTACTCATTTGGAGATGTGACTCACTTTCCAATTCATTCAAGTCAAAAATAATGAAGCACTGTATATATGAAACATCCAGAAAAAAAACTGACCTGCACAGAGCACTAAAGGAAAAAAAAATATGAGTCAAACAAGCCTCAGAATCCTTGATCAGCATTAAATGGCTCTTTGGTTTTATATCTTCAGCAGGGGTGCCCCCGAAGCCCCCTCACCCCTGTACCGCCCACCCCTGCCGTTGGATAAAGATGCCTGCGCTGTATACTCAGCAGCCTAGAGGCCTTTTAATCATGCTAGATATACAAACAGCTGCTATGCATGCTGGAAAGCAGCTAAACATACTTGACTGGTCAAAAAGCCAGTAAATTACATTGACAGAATGACACATGTAATTAAAAGAATCCATGCAGCTTTTACCTTTTGCGCTTCACACCTACAGTGGCACAACGACGAGAGCCGGCAACTCCCACCCCGCTAATTACCATTATCAGTGAAATGGTAGGGTTTGACTCATTAGTTCCATGTGCATTTAATTAGAGGCAGGCTGAAATTGGATTTAACTTATTACTTTTTCATGGATCACTTTCTTGTCATCACTTCAAATTGGATTGCAGCCCCAGGTAACTAATTATGCCAGCCGCAGGATCAGGAGTGGAGAAATAGGTAATTAGGAACAACACTGTCGGACCCTCGCTGATAGTCCACCAGCACCGAGGTGGGGGGAGGGGGGGAATTGATGCTCGTTTGCGGCAATGCACACGAGACCGGCTGGTTAACTACACCTCATTCCAAGGGAACCTGTGCACGCATCCACCTACTACAGGGGATTATGTGGCACCCGGGCAGGAGATGTTGTGTCAATATGGTGTCTATGCTCTGAGTGTAATATCCAGATTATGCTTGTTTCCCATCCAGGATTGTGTTTAAGATCAGCATTCAGTACGGTGAGGTACATGGCCAGCAGCCAGTTTCCTGCATCTACTGCTGAATGACAGCGACTGATTTCTGTCAGTCTGTGCTGATTGTAATGAGAATACACGAACGGCTGCTTTGAAGAGAGGCAGGTGCATAATGTAGCGTGTTAACAATTCAGGCTTTTAGCAGAGGTAGTTTGCTTGTGGAGAGGGAAAGTGATTGCTTTACTGAGAGCTTTGTTGTCCATATTAAAGTAAAGATCATCTTCTACCCTAAAAGTTTTTGCACTTATTGTAATTATGTGTTGGCCTTCTATTTTAAATGAGAAACACTATTCACAATTCACTGATAAATATTTCGCTGAACATTTTCATAATGTCAAAGGTGCATCACTTGTTATTCTTCAGACAGAGAAACTACAGATAATGTTTAAAAACCAGACAATTTCCTTATCTACACTATTACCAGCTGAAGCCTCGATCCTCTCTTCTTTCCCTTTTCTTTTCTCTCTTTCGTTCTCCTTTGCTCACTCTGTTCTCACACCATAGTGTACAGCCTCGCGGAGGGCATCTCCAGGTCAAAAGATAATGTCTTTTCAGTTTACAGGATGAAAGCCTTTTAAGTTAGAGAGCTCCCCTCCAATGCCCCTCCTCCTCCCCGCATTTGCTTTTCACATCCTTCATTTGTGGTCTGTTGGGGGGAAGCGTGATGTGACACAATCCAGGGGCCAAGCCTCTGTCTGACAGGACAGGGAGAAGCCGGCGGCTTTCCCTCCCTCTCCTACTGTTTTTGCAGTAGGCCCATGGCATTGTCCTGACACATGTATACCACAGAGCTCCAATCTGTAAGTCATTAGAGCACTAGGCCAAAGCCTGTCAGCTGGAGCTCAGCCAGTGCTGCAGGCTGATCTGAGGCAGCACTTCGAGGTGCCTCCGCAGTCTGGCCGGCCAGTGGCCCAAAGTGGCACAGCAGCGATCGCCCAGTGGCGAGGTGACAATAGGCAGGACTCTAGATTCATGTCATGGGTTGGTTATTGTGTGAAAAAAAATCTCTGTGCATTTAGATTTAGTTTAGAGTGACATATAAATATATTTAGAGCATTATAGACCAGAAATATGAAGAAAAAGAAGTGCTGAGCATAGTGAGAGAAGGAATAGTCGTTGATAATGCCGTTTGTAGCCTGATTTCACGCCGCTGTTACTGAAGTGAGTCATTCTTAGGGAAGTCGTTAAACATTTTAGCAGAGATATGCCCATTCACAAGAAAGTCACTTCATAAAATCATAGCAACAACAATGCAGTGTGTTATTCAGTTAGGTGCTGTCTCAAGGTGATTCTGTAATGAAATCTCATTCTGATGTGTGCGTTGCTTTGAGGTGATAAATACTGTCAGGAAAGATCAGCACAAAGCCAAGACCGGTGCCGGGGAATAGGCCGTCTCTATGGTCGCTTGTTTTGCTTGTCATATTGTAAAAATGTATTATGTGTACTGTATATATTAGAACCAGGTTTGGGATAATCCTGTCAGAATGAAGTCATCTGTCCTGATTCCACATAGCCAAGTGGGAGGGAGGGGGGTGGTGGCGGTGGGAGCTCTCGCCCAGCCAAGTTGATGACTGTCGAATTGACTCCAGTCACAGAGCTGGGAGCCACTCTGCTGTTTGCTGGACCCTCTGTATTCATTGGAGGCCTGATGTTTCCCTTCAAGCAGTCAGCCTTCGCAACACTCCACCCCACTCAGTCATCCCCACGGATACACAAACATATACACTTCCCCTGAAATTTGTCGTATCTTTATGTCATCCTCTGGCGTTACGTCTTGATTTTAATGCTTGTCGTTTTTTTTCGAGTGATTCACACGCCCTTTGGAGAGCGGTAGAAGGATGGATGGGTGCACAGTCAGCCATAGCATTTATAAACACTAACAGCTATGCAAGGTGCAGTCAAGTCAGCATCAGCTCACAATGCAGTTTCAATGTCAGTGTCAATGCACACTTTTGACAGCTTGGCAATTTTCTTATTCCATTTTCACTTTTGGTTAAGACTCGA